CACATCGCGGCTGAACTCCCGATACCATGCACACCATCTGGATGATTGGCGGTCCACCACTCTGCGATTTAGAAGATGTTTTCTTCCTCGCACGACCTCCTTGTGGAATCGATTACCATCAGCGATTTTTCCGGACCGATACGACTTAGGGACCTTCAAGAAAAGAGCGTACTCCTTTTTAAAAGGCCGGCAACGCATCTGCGATTCCCTTGGTGTTGCAGTTGTTCATGGGCGGCGGTAGTCACTTACCATCAGGTGAGCCGCATGCTCGTTTGCCCCCTCTCCTATAAAAAAAAAATCATAATGTAAAAAAAAACTTACACATTTGCCAAGTGATTTCCACCCGAAAATTATACAATTGCACCGGGGTCTGAACTCGTTTGATTACAAATTGTCGTTATTTCAAGAGAATACGGCCTGCTCAAAACGTTCGGTACTCTATATTGCATCTCTCAAGCAGGGGCGTAACAATAGAGGGTCAGTGTGCCCGGCTGTGACCCGGGGACCAGATTATACGAAGCGGCATTTAGAGAAAAAAGTCAGCTCCTTTAATATACTTTCCACCTTAACTTTTTAAATAATGCCTATGATAATCTCAAAAAAACTGAATAGCAGCTCTTACTGAATACCCTCTTACTGATCCCGTATGCTATGGCGATGTCGTAACTACGGGTGTCATAAAAAGCGACAAAGCGAAACAAGCCAGGAGATGGGCAGAAGCGTCTTCCTATTAATATCTAAAAATAAAAAAAAACCTGTAAACGCAACCCACCTGCCTAGTGTGGCAACTATGGGGGGGAGGCCTATGTTCAGCACTGGAATTTTAATAGGCTGTAACGGAAACCTGTACATTGAAAATTTAAAAAAAAAAGATATAATCTACACATACTCTTACCAAGGGTATAAAATATAAAAACAAGATTCGTATGAAAATACATTAAGTATACTTTTTTAGTTATTTTCAAATAATACACATGGACCATGGAGAATTACTGCTTTTACATTTTTGTAAGATACTTGCGAAACGTGGCGGGAGGATTAAGCCCACGCTTTCTGACTGTACTACTATTATCCTGAGGGATACCTTTAGAGCTTGCAGTGGCTATGCCTGACAATGACTAATCCCTACGGACACAACGTAAGTCCACAGATTCATGTCTAGAGAGAAGGCCTGTGTCAAAGTCTGCCACATTGAATAAAATTGTTTTGAATTAATTTCTTAGACTTCGATAAATTAAAAAAAAAGGATTTCGTTTTAATATCTGATATGCTTTAATTTGTGTTTATCTGTAAACTCACGCCCAGCTCATTCACAATCCTCTTCGTTAATAGACGGGACCCAATTGAATTTGCACGTCATTTTCGAGCACGTTCTCCAGAAAGTGCGTATATTAATGTAGAGTGGAACTGAAGTAGAATCTCGAGTATTGGGCATACACTCGAGATTCTACCCCAGAACAAGCTCCTTGAATTTGTTAAGTGTCCTGATTACTAGATTGTCTAATGTCTACTGGGTTGTCTACGAAGATAATTTTTGCACTGAACATTCAGACATGACATACCTAAGAGACTAACACTGCCATTCTTTAAGTTGTATCTTACTGGTCAAGAAAAGATTCTGGACGATACTGGATCAGGTATCCAGTATTGTCCAGAAACCTTACATAAATTCTTATTTAGAATTCTCTCAAATATTGTTATTAAAATAAACCTTTATAATTAATTTTAAAGGAGTCCCCACTTAGGGAGTCGCGTCCTAATTTGTAGCAAAAGTACTTGCTAATGGGTCTACTGGACCTAGTATAATATCATAAGCTTATTCCAAAACTGCTTTATAAACGTAAATGATTACTTTCTAATAAGTGTAAAGAAAAATATTATTGATTCAAATACTAATATTTATATTTCAATTTTTCTAAAAGCTTTTATATAATGGATTTCCGCAAAGTAACGCCTGATTCTATTAATTATACTAATATTTATTGTTTTTACTTATATAAAAGCTGTTACAAAATATACAAAATTTGCTCATAGTTTTAGGCTTTTATAATTACTTAATTTTTATCACTTATACGAAATGAAAGACGGATCAATCGCCATAGAAAAAAATAAAAAAACCACAAAAATACATTATCTTCTTTCAAGTCAAATAAAACTTTTTAAAATTCTACTGACATTTTTTAAATTAACTGACTACCAACGTTTCCTGTGCTACACTATCGTTAAAAGGGTACTAAGAGCGACAACGTTGCAAACGTCAAATTTTCTTAGTTAATAAGCAATACGGCTGCGTCTATTGTACCCATTAGCGAATCCTATTAAGATTTAAATAGTAAGACTATGTTACGCCAAACTATCGTACTATGTAACAATATTCTTTTGAATTATTATTTAATTATTTTTATACCTCAACTTATAACAATGGATGCTGTAATTTCCTCTTGATTACTACAAACTAGATACTGTAATTTCCCTTTTATTAAGGTTGAACGCTGTAGTGATGGCGTAAGAGAATTTATCGATTACCCCATCCTATCTAGTAGAAGGCGTGAGAGTCAACTATAGGAAAAACCAGGAAGATCTGTAAGGCAACGTCTAGAGGTCGCTGAATACAGGACGGAATCAGCACGTGCACGGGACGGAAACGGAACGTTGTTGTATCTCCACATGGACGGGAGTTTAATGCATACGCAACGTGACAGTGACTCGAAACTAATGTGGTAGTGTTGTGAAAGATGGATTTTTCGTTTGAAGAGTTGGCGGACCGACATACGCAGCGAAACCACGGACGGGAGTGGCGCGCACGGGGTAAACATCGTCGCCGACGATATTTTTCTCTTTCCTTTCATGCCACGTCCCCGTCCCGTCCGCGCATCCGTAACGTATGCATTTTCACGTACATTTTCTATGGAACGATATTTCTAAAGTTTGGCGTCCCGCTCCGTCCGGAATAAAGCACGCTACGTATGCAGCGACCTTAATACTGAATCACCTATCACCGATCCGTCTGCTGAACGTGGTAATAGCGGCATATCGTTGATTTCAAGTGAGAGAGTCTTATCCACCAGTGGACTGTTTATAGGTTAATAAAGAATAAAGAATCTTTTGACAGTATAATATCAATGTTAGTCTTTTTGAGCCTACGACTGGGTGGTGGTTTTTGTAAGAAGGTCAAACAGTTCTTTTTAATAATTGCCTATTAACAAACTTATAATCTACAGCGTATTTTTGTTAATTTACAATTCTTGTTCAAATTATGTACATGACAAATTATTTTAAATAATTGCCAATGCGACGGTTTGTAATTTTACGGTCATTCTTATTTCCATGTTTGTTTAAAAAGTAAATCGACTGCAGTCATAACACGTGAAATGTAACAAAATTATCACAATCAGGTCCCAGTCGGAAATTCCGTCCGAGATTTAATTGAAGTCAATAAACAATTGGAAATGAATACGAGTAGTATTACCACTACCAATTTATTTCATTGATTTCATAAAATAACTTTTTATAGTTAAAATTGAAATGATTGTAGATCCAGAATAATTGTCATTTCAGTCACAGCTTCAGCCTCCGAAAGACAATCAAGGGGCAACTTAGAGAGACAGATGTAGTTCGGATTGATCATACCTTTTTTTTTTATCGTGGAGAAATCCTCATGGATAACTTCTGCTGCGAGGGCTACAGAAAGTTTATGCCGGACTCCTACTGACCAAAACCCCACGGTGGTCAGCATAAGCGTATATGAGGGGTCCCGGGATTTCCGTTTGCAACGCAGCCGGTGCCCCTCTCTCCCTTTGCTTTATTAAAGCACGTCCCGGGGGCAGACCTTACTGCCCCCAGCACCCTTGCAATGCTATCACGGTGCTCGAGACCACTTCTGAATCACCGTCCTCCTCAGGTGTTACATCACTAGACGTTCGAGGCCCCCGAGGCTCCGTTTCTGGTAGGGGAACACCATCATCAACAAGGGCAGGGCCGTGACGAACGCCTTGGCGACGTCGTCTCCGAGCGCGATCTGTACTCTCCCTCGGATTGATCATACCTGTAAAAAATTTGACGAAATTATCATCTATATTATTTCTTCAGGGATATTCCCCTGTTTCCTGTTCCAAAGTTGGACCAATTTTACTTTTTTTTTTCAAAAACATTATATAAAGGACTCTTTATAGTGGCGGTGTAAGAATATCCACTACCCCATATCGCCCCGTAGGTGTCGTAAGAGGTAACAGAGGAAAACAGACCAGAAGATGGGTAGCAGCGTCACCCTATCAATAATTAAAAATAATAACAACTAAAAAATAAAAAACTACGGTTGCCAAACCGCCTGCGTGGCGATTATGCCAAATACGCTAGGAGGCAATCTATGGGAGAGGCCTATGTTTAGGAGTAAACCATGACAAACTGTACATGAAGGAGTGTAACTAGGTTTTTTGTATTTTTTTTTTTATTTTTTACATTCTACGTAGTTGCCCATGTCTAATAACGGTTTTAGTAATTATAAAAGTTTTTTTTAAATAAGTAATTTAAGGAAAACACAAAACATAGGAACATGGCAGTGGTAGATATAGGTTGTATCGTAAAAAAATATTGCTCCCGACGTTGCAATTTTTCAGAAATATCTTTAGGACAGTAGATTTGGAAAAACTAGTTAATAAAAATAAGTTACTAAGATACAATATCACAGGCATAGGTTCAAATTCCAGTATATATTTTGCAAAAATTCGAATGTTTACTTTACGGTTACCACACGGTGGTAGGACTGATGTCTCCGACATCATAATAGAAATATCAATTTCCTAATTATAATATAAATATGAATGTGAACATACATGTAACATAAAGGTTATATTTTTTACTGTAACACAATATACCTAGAGCATGCTCAATAAACACAATAAAGTTGAATTTAATTAAGTACGCGAAGAAAATCATTTCCCTTGACAATCTTTAGAAGGTATTTAAAATACAAACTAAAAACGTTATTCTATTGGTTTCAGGTTCTACTGGGATTTGTGTATGCTGCTACTGCTGGTGGCCAATCTTATCATCCTACCCGTTGCCATCTCTTTCTTCAACGATGACCTCAGCACACGTTGGATTGCCTTCAACTGCTTATCTGACACCATATTCCTTATAGATATCGTTGTTAATTTTAGAACAGGTTAGTATTATTTGGTCTCTTATAAAAACTATAATTAAAACATATTTAAGCGTGCCTTACGTAATTTAAACGTGTTATTTGTTGTTTTTTATTTTAGGAATAATGCAGCAAGATAATGCGGAACAAGTGATATTAGATCCCAAGTTAATAGCCAAGCACTATTTAAGGACATGGTTCTTCCTAGATCTCATCTCTAGTATACCGCTAGATTATATTTTCTTGATCTTCAATCAGGTAAACGTACGTTGCAATTTGGCCGTGTTTCTTTTACTAGATTTAACTATCTTTTATGTTTTGACGTTCTGTTTCAGCTTGGGTCTTCATTTGTTTTATAGCAAACATTATGTGTTGTTTGGATTTTATTTGTACTTTTTTATTTTTTATTGTAATTTCTATTCGACTGCCACGAGTATGTACAACGCGCCATCGTGTTAAGTCGTGTATTTAAGGGTCTATCAAGTAAAGGTTTGATTGGCACTCTAGTCTTTTCCAAATTCTCTAAACGCATAACTTTTCTTCTTTTAATACTTCAATACTACACGTTTCTTAAACTACAATCTGCACGAGTAACATAAGTAACCCATAAGGATCGAAATTAAATTTCTTCGCCTTCGAAGGCCTTACAGTCAGTAGATTATTACTGATCGTATGGGGTGCTGATTCCAGATTTCCTATCTTTAGGTGTTGGTCTCTTTAAGCACACTTTTACTTTGTGCACTATCCGCTTTCTATGGTAAAAGTTATAAAGCACAATCTTAATTTTATTTCGTAAATTTATATTTGACTTTTGCAACTTGTCCAGTTCTTTGCACTACAATTCTTCAATGTTTCTTTTTTATTATTCAATCGTATATTTCCCTCTTGTCTTGTAAAAGCATGACTTCTAACAAAGCTTCTATTACAATATATAATAATTTGTTTTGTTTTTGGCTTCGAAAATATGTATTTATTTTTAGTTTTATACACAATAACTTATGCACTTGTGTATATGAATATTTTCTATTTATTTAATTGTTAATAAGAAACACGACCATATTGTAACATTCTTAGTACTATATAAATATTAATAATTCTACATAATATATTGGTAGACATTTATAATGTACAGATGTACAGATAGTATATTTTTATGCATAAATTATACAAGCTTAATTTTATCCAACGTTTTAAGAGCTTCCATTAATTTAATATCAATATTATATTGCAATGAGCAAAGTTTAATTAAATAAAAATAATAATAAATATTAATAATATATCAACATCTATTATTAAAAGCTTGAGCACTTTTCTTTGGCTGAGACTATTACTGGCATCAACTATGCATGTCTTTTCACATCAACTGTAAAAAAAGAAAATTTAAGGCGAGTCGCGGTGCTCTGAAGAAAAATTTTAGCTTCTTTGGAGTATCAGTAGTTTAGTACATCTGCTCAAACATTGCTTTGATTCTGTTTACAGGACTTTAGTGAGAGCTTTCAAATACTTCACGCGGGTCGTGCACTAAGAATACTACGGTTAGCGAAGCTGTTGTCTTTGGTGCGATTGTTGCGGCTCTCAAGACTTGTCAGATATGTGTCGCAATGGGAGGAAGTATATGTAAGCCATCATCTCTATTATCCACCACTTCTGACCCATTAATTACTCAACCACTAACACTGCTCTAACTACATAACGCTCATATCTAATAACACTACATAATTAACACCCTACTTATACCCTTATAATATTGGATTAAATAAAATGATATGTACATATAATATTACATATTATATAAATTAATTTGATATATTATAAAGTAATTGGCAAAAATATTGTGTATCTATTGAAATTTAAATATGTCTAAAATGTTCCTAATAATATTTTCAAACTGTTATAGAAAGTAGTGATCCCAATAACGTGTAAATGGAATTTGTTGTAATCCTGTATTATACCACTGTTCCCACCCCCCACTGTATGTGAGCCCAAAGTCCCGCTCTGCACTTCTCTACTGCTTCTCTGCAAGCTTCTTTCTGCCTGAGCACGTTTTCACTCGTGAATCTTTCTCTTGTGTGCGCCCGCGCCGCGTCCGTGCCTCGACTCGCCGCGACCGCCGACCCCGACCCGAACCGTCCCACACTTGCCGAACGTGGATATAATTTGCTCATTTGTTCATTATGTTGCTGCTTATTCGAATCCACTAGAACTGATGCGCTGACGCCGATTTTCTTTTTTACTCACGTTATTTGTACAAAATAGTGTTGAAATACTTTATTTTATACACAACATAGCTAAAGCTCAAAATATCGCGTCGTGATTTAGATCTCAGCAAATCCTAAATTCGTTTTTCACTAAAAAAATAATCATCTGTAGAACTATTCAAGTAATTACACTATTAAGCGTTTTTATCTAACAATTTCTTCAAAAAATAAATCGTATTAACAATCATAATGCGCCCAACCGTACAAGTTTAATAGTGGGCGATAAACTGAAATACGATACGAAGCTGAGAGTCATAGAGAAGTGGAGTACGGGGAGGGTGGTGGTGACAACATCGCAGTGACGGTGTTGTGTGCAGATGAGCCCTGCTCCGCAGCCGAGTGACGAGCCGGGCGACGCGGACGGCGGGGGTTCCCGCGACCTCGCCTCGCAGGTGCCGCATGCCCGCGCCGGCTAGCTACCGTAGGGGCCTAGCCCGCGACTCGCTCGTCTCGGTGTTAGTGCATCTTGTGTGCCCGCACGCCTCACGCCCCGCCCCGCCCCGCACCATCCAGCGATGACCTCCGTCTGCCGACCCCGCCCGCGCTCCCGTCGGGCGCGCCTGGCTCTCTTCCTACTATCTCGTGTTTCTCGCTTGTTTTCTAGATCTTGCAGAACCTTCAAAAAAAGCGCACCGAACGGAGGGGACGGCTCAGCTCCGACGTAGCCAAAAAGAAGAGTGACACCAAAAGCAATCTGATCTTCAAGGTAACCCCAGGGTCGGCGCGAGCCGGCGTGCATGTACTCGTTCGCCCGCTTTAGCATGTTGCCGGCACCGCCCGGCGTCCTTCACACCGCTGCGTACGCTTCGCTTTCTATCTTTCGTTGGCGTTTCTTTCCGACCCTAGTCCCGCCGGCGGGCGCGCAGGCGGCGTGAGAGTCACGCGGCCGTGCGGCGGCCGCGGCCGCGTGCCTCTCCACGTATCGCCCTCTTCGTGACCGCATGCTCACCCAATGACGTTCACGCGTTCATATCTTAATTTTCACTACTTTACGAATCCATCGGTAGTGATCATCGATGCTTAACCACGAGCGTCTTTGTCGCGCGCAGTCCGCACGGCTTCCCTTAGAGGCGAAAATACCGATCCGACGTATTTGTTCATACGTAATCATTCTGTCCACAGTTCCTCAACATGGCGTCAGTGTTTATGCGGATATTCAATCTAATCTGCATGATGCTGTTAATCGGTCACTGGTCGGGATGTCTACAATTCCTCGTTCCGATGCTTCAGGGTTTCCCACCGAACTCGTGGGTGGCTATTAATGAACTTCAGGTAGGTTATAAAATTAAAGCAATAAAATTACATTTTTGATTTTTATATTAGGGATGTAAGGGAATATATGTAATTTTTTACTTAATGCCAACCTCATCTGCGAAAAAATGGTCAATCGTGGTGAGTGTGGGAAAACCTTCCAAGTATATGATACTTAGCAGCTGACGCGTCATACAGGTTGCCATGGCCACACGTTCAGCAGCATAATAAAGACAGCTGTTGATGTCATGTGATGTACGATGTGACAAGAAGTAAAGAGATTTCCGTGTTAAAATTTGTTTCAATGCAGTGAACGCTAGTGAACGTTTATTTTAATTTTATATTGAAAATTATTTTCATAATGATTTCAAATATAAAGAATAGTCATATACTTTACGTTATAAAACAGAAGCCCTATTGTTATTATGTAAAGAACATATCGCTTATACTTAGTATCTCATATTTGAGCGATAGAAAACAAACTGTTGTGATCAGTTCTTCCGGGTCGCTAGTATCTATGCTTGCTCCTCAGGGCTCAATTCGTCGCCCCTCTCCTTCTTAGCTTAAATTAATGTTTTACCTTACCTAGGAAGGTGTTACCATGATTTAGTTTTTTTTTTGCTGATGATACTGCACTTAGTATCTTTTTGGTTCTTTCTAATTCGGGAGATTTTTACCGAAGTAATGGAAAAGCTTACTTAAGCGTAAAATGTTGTATTTACATGATATTTAACTAAAATGAAATGAACATTCTACGTGTATATTTGGTAAACTCCCATAGAAAGAGAAGTTAAGTTGAATCTAGGCAGAAATATTTTGTGATTACTTTGTTACTAATATATTTTCTATAAATATTACAGGAGGCGTTCTGGTTGGAACAATATTCGTGGGCACTGTTTAAAGCCATGTCTCATATGCTATGCATCGGTTACGGTCGATTTCCACCTCAATCCCTTACCGACATGTGGCTTACAATGCTATCGATGATCTCTGGGGCCACCTGCTATGCACTTTTCCTTGGTCATGCAACCAATCTCATCCAGAGTCTTGATTCCTCGCGAAGACAATATCGTGAAAAGGTAAATTTTTATTCTCATAGCTTTCTTTTTGTTCATAACTTCGTATATCTTCGTCTTTTATAAACGTTTAAGATTTTTATGAGGCTGTAAGCTGTTATGAACATGTTAAGATCATTCTTCCTAAAAAATAATCATTCATAGCATAACTGTTAAAGTGATTTATTTACTTTTAATATTTCTAATATTCGCATGTTTTCCTAATTCCTTTTGAAATAACTACTAATTATTAGTCATTGCCTGTTTCAGAAACTAGACGTGAGTACGGATTGCATGATTGTTAAATGGTTTCCATAGTAAGGGATCACAAAATCATTGTTCATCACTTGGTTAAACGCTCCACTCATTATAATGTGTCGAAGATATTAATAATCATTGTCATATTACATTTTCACATTAATAACAAATGTTCATAACAGTTTGCTTTTGATATCTCTTTTGCCTCTCTTTGCCATTCTTTAATGTGTACTTCCTTATATAATTATAATATTAGTTTAAAGTGAGATAAAATCTAATATACCACTGCTTCATTTTGTTCAACAGCAAAGTGTGTGCGTGTGTGTAGATCTTTTCTAACCAACACCATATTAGCTTGTCTCTTATACAAGGTGACTCAAAATAACGTTGACAATTGATTTTACAAATTATTTTATTGGCCTTTAAGTCGATTAATTTTACTTGAATCATAAAAATACAACTCATTTTGTAATAGAATACTAATTTAAAAACAACTTTCTATAACGTGGACCTTTGAAGACAAAATCTTGGTTAAAGATTCACAACATTTTTCTCACGTTAATCTGTGGACTAATCTTTGTTTGATAATGCCCGACACATTTGTCAAAACAAATTGGAATCCTAGAAGTATTAAGTTTCGTCTTCTCGTAGGACGATCTTCAATTTAGCCTTGCTCATATATATTAATATTTAATTGCCGGAAAAACTGTACAAAGTAAACGCATAACATTACGTTTTTAAAACGTTTGTCTTTTGATTTTGTGAACGTTATTTAGAGTCACGATGTAATTATACTTTTAATATAGGATACTTATTATATCTGTATGATATTTAAGGTGAAACAAGTAGAAGAATATATGGCCTATCGCAAGCTACCTCGTGAAATGCGGCAACGTATCACCGAGTACTTCGAGCATCGTTACCAAGGCAAATTTTTCGACGAGGAGCTTATCTTGGGCGAGCTTAGTGAGAAACTGCGTGAGGATGTCATCAATTACAATTGTCGTTCACTCGTTGCCTCGGTGCCATTCTTCGCTAACGCTGATTCCAACTTTGTTTCGGATGTCGTCACTAAACTACGTTATGAAGTCTTCCAACCCGGTAAATATAATAAACTTATACAGTTTTAGTATTCTGTATCAAATGCAGCGTAATGGATCACTTGTGAAACTACCTCAGTGTCTATCCTTCTGTTACAGAAATTTTTATTTGAATGTTTTACAATAATTGGAATATGACATCGTAGTTAAGGGTGTATCATAAGATTACACAAATATATAAATATATTTAAAAAAATGATTTATGACTTAAAAGATTAGTTTTGTAAGCAAAAACAGGGAAATCAACTGTATTAATTCAATATCATCATTTAGAACCCCATGAATATAGTTCCATATTGCAAAATTTGCACACTGTGTGTATTTTGGTTCAACTTGAGAGATAGAATAGTCTCAAAATTTATTATTGCGAATTCAAGGATTTTCATAGCAAGGGTCGTTGGATATATATAGTTGATGAATATATATATATATATATATATATATATATATTCATCACTCATAATGTGCTCCCGCATTAAAGCCGTGTGCGTCTGATAAGTGCGTAATCGTTGTCACGTACTACTATTTGTTTTATATTAATAGTATCTCTTAAGATATTGACATATTTACTTGCAATCAATTAAAATTCTTGATAGCAATAATACAATTCATTATTAACTTATTTTAAACAAGCCGTACCCGTGACTTAGTATGCATAGAATCTTTTCCTGACATTGTTTAAAAGCTGATTTATATGGTAATTGAATTGATAAGATATGGGTGGTTTGCAAGAAGATGTTGTAATGGAATTAGAAAAGAATGCTTGAAGGGGCTCAAAGGAGCTTGAATGAATACTTAAAGGAGCTTACTTACGAGTTAAATGAAAGAATTCAAAGGCGAAAGGAAATATTTCATGAAAATCATAGTAATGGAACATTGTAATAACTCAACAGAAGAAGATAATAATGTAAATACTTACCAACTAGTTGACGATTACGAACACATAGGAAATACGTCTCATATAAGAAAATAAACTATGCCAATATACGCAGAATTGTTACACCAGGGAAGTTTGACGCGTCATATTAAAAATGTTCAAAAACATGGTAGACATATTTATTTTAAATGAAACTTGGATAAAGTTCGAATCAGACGCAAAACATTTTGTCATCTCTAACTATATTCACTATTATAATTTAAGAAACGGGAAGAGACGGTGGTGTATCAATTTTTGGTTATAACCGTTTGATGCACATTCACGTCAGCGACACTTATTTCGATGGTAATTATTTTCTTTGGATTTATCTCGAATAACATTTTCTGGAAATTGGAACAGTATACGGAAAACCAGATGCGAGTATAAACCAATTTTAAATGAATATTATGCCAAAATAAATAAACGTCAAACAGCAACTATTTTTAGTGATTACAATTTTAATCTACTGTTCATTGATCATGGAACCCTTGCCTGCAAAGAAACTTTTCGAAAGATTAGTTACAAAATTATAGATAAATAGACCAAAATTTTTGTACCATGGAAAAACAACTAAAACTACAACTCACTATCTCAGTACTAACCTTAAGGAAGAAAAATTAACCTGGCTATTTATAATAATCACCCACCGACTCAAGCTTAAACTATGCTTGAAGGGGCTCAAAGGAGTCTTAAAGTAATGAAATATGTTAAAAGTTTAACAATCGGACCGGCTGCAGTAATAAATGTCTAAATATAGGTCTCAAATTGCCAAAATTGTAATTGGAAATTACCGTCTGATATCAGTGTTACGCGTACTCCCAAAAGTTTTTGAACGGATCATTTACAAACGGCTTGAAACATTTTTAACATCGATTAATTTCAAACAATATGTTCTTAAACCAAAATCAAATATACTGTCCGCCCCTTATGAAATGAACGGCCTCGTAATCCCACACGTTACACATATTAGAGAACCCTTATTAGAGTACATCATCTTGGAACTTAATTTTCGTAAGCACATTTTAAATATTTATTAGGAAGTCAATGCAGTGCAGGGATTTTCGGAATTCACTTACTTAATAGTTCTTACGAAATGAATTTCATATAATGCTCCCGTGAGAAGTCAACTTGAAACGAATGTCTTTATTTGAAATCTACATGAAAGCAAATACAGTGTCATGGTAGAAAAAATTCAAAATAAATTTACACGATTTTTATATTTCAATCAGTACGAAATCTATCCTTGTTTTCCTTTGATGTATCAGAGTCTATTTGTGCTAGATATGATCAGTTACAGCCACATGAGTGTGAGGAGAGACATCGTGCTTATTAAATATGTGTGGTAAAGTATTACGTGGATGTATACATCACGCAGATGTGCTCTTTGCGCTAAAGCTGCATGTACCTACTAATTAACTGTGTTCTCGCCGCCGCCGTTACTCCTTACTACTACAGGAAATTGACATATATCCTGTGGGATGGAATATATACATGCACTCAGACGAAATTCATTATTGCAGCATACAAATTTGTTGAAAATTGTAACTTTTATAGTCATGTTGATAGTTTCATTATTTAGTAGTCAGTAGTTTTCTTATAAATAGGTTAGATATAGCATCGAATTAATTAATATAACTGTAATTATGTAATAAAAAAAAGAAATAAATAATAGAACAAAAAAGTGAATATAGATAGGAATAAAATCGCCCTTGCTGTATTTATAGATCTTTAAAAAGCTTTTGTTACGGTGATCCATTCTTACATAAACTTATTAACCTCGGTATAACTAACACTTCACTAGATGTTTTTAAGGTAAGTAATCGCCGACAAATTGTAAAAATTGGTACAACGCCAAGTTCTGACAGAGCTGTCTGTAACTTTCGGTATTCCTCAGGGTTTTATCTTGGGACCCGTACTGTTTCATAAATATATAAAAAATATCAAGGAGATAGGCTTAAATAGAAATGTAGCTTTGTACGCTTATGACACCTGTCTTTTATCAGGGATATAAAATGATTTGGATTCACTAAATGAGTGGTACCAGAACATATGATTTTATGAATAAAAAAAACACAAAGATTGGTGATTGTAGTCCTTTGATGATAGAAAGCATAAAATGGATAAGCTGGATCAAGGATAATTTCTAGGTATTGTTTTATATAGTAAATTAATTTGGCAGAATGTAGGGCATTCTGAAAATCAAATCAACGATAATAATATATTAATGGGTTATATTAATATTATAATATGCGGTATTGTTCGCTATCTTACATTCCACGTACAGTACACGATCTAAAATTTCATTGTAAAAGCACCAATCGATTATTTGGTAGAAATATGGGACACTACAGCCAACAAATCTATTTCGTTATAGTTCCAGTTTGATTATCTTACACCGACAGATAAGCTTTCAAACAAATTAAAATAATATACATATCACAATTATACCAAAATTATATAACAAAACGATTTTTTTAAATAAAGTTATACCTACACACAAATGTAACCTTAAATATATATAGTACTAGCTGTTCACCGCGACTTCACTCGCGTGGAATTTATTGCGATTGGATTTTATAGGTTTTAATTTTTGCGCGAGACCCTAATTATTTTCCTAAAATAAAAATAGCGTAAGTTACTCCTTATAACACCAGCTATCTGCCAGTGAAAGTTTATTGTTGCGTGATCCGTGTTCAGACAGACGTCGTGTTAGAGTTTTATTATAGTAATAGATAGATAACTTTTAGTAGAAAATACAATACAATTACACAAAATGAAACATAGGCAAATCATCGATATTGACTTATTGACACCACGAACAGTTAAGGTAAAAATTTGCTTATAATTAACTAGCTATTGACAACAACGCTACCTACTACCTACGCTACGTAATGTACGGGAGTGACAAATAAGTTAAAATAAAACTATAAATTAGGAAAAAATCGTACTAATTTTATTTAAGGAATAATAAAAAAATATAAATTTTTGGTATGAAAATCAAGTTGGCAATTTCGCAGGTTCTTGCCAGTAACAAAACACAACCGTACCTGACAATTGATATAAATAACTTGGGTAAATTTTGAGCAAAGACGGCATCGACGCTGGGTAGTCATATTTTTACCTTCTCCGTTTTCTACTGAAATCTCAGATCTGCCTGTTTTCTTCAAACTATATATATCAAACCGGACACTAGATGGCGCTGGTGGTAACTAGTGTTGCCATGCACAAGACATTAATAGTGGCGCGCAACAGAAGTAATAGATAGAACGTTCTTCTTAACTTTACAAGCAGATAATCCAGACGGCTCCGTGGCGCAGTGGCTTAGTAATTAGTTGTTACTAAAATCATTATTAGTTATACTAACAGACCGTAAAATTAAAATTTGCCAAAAAGCAGAGGAACCATAGATTACCAAAGAACGCGTTGGAGAAATTTTACAACAATCATTTGCACATGAAACAAATTAGGTATCATACCGCGGCCCCGGAGAGTTAATTAAACAAGATGCAGCTGTTCGTAAGATGGATCTTAAGGCCTATGTTCAGCAATGGACTTGTGAAGGGCTGTACTGATGATGAGGATGATGACTAATCCATTTCTTAGCCTACTATGTTGTAATTAATTAAAATAAATCATTCTATACCGACTATTAAAAAGCTGACTTAACTGAAAGGCTGCTTTTACATGCAAAGGATGCTTTGAAATTGCTGACTTGCACTATACGTTCATACATATGATACCGCTCCCGCGGTAACAGGGCTGCGATACACACATACTTTACCTAAGACTGTAGTAACTTTCACGACGTTTGTTTGCGACTGCTACTGTACCGGCGGCGGGAATTCGTTGAAAATTTTACAGATATCTTACACGTGGTAGAGCCATGCTGCAGCTATATTAATAGTATAGTTGTAGCACGAATGGGTCGGCTCGACCGCGACCGGGGAAGGACCACGCTCTCACAGAATACCAGCGTAAAATAGAAGCTTAATGCTGTAATGTGTATGTAATGTGTTTCGTATGAGTGTAGAGAACCGGAGATCCATTTTACTGGAAAAGAGGCATTCTATCTTAGTCCTCACGGCTGACAACGCATCTACATTTTAATTCGCAAACGAAGATAGATGTAGATGTCTATAGGCCACAGCAACCACTTACCATCAGGTGGACTGTGTGCTCGTTTGTCACCCTATCCTATAAAAAAAAAGACAAATTTGAATTTTTATAACGTTCAATGTATTTTTACAGGCGATATCATCATTAAAGAAGGAACCATCGGAAGCAAAATGTACTTTATTCAAGAAGGCATCGTGGACATTGTTATGGCGAACGGTGAAGTCGCTACCAGTCTGTCTGATGGCTCCTACTTCGGCGAAATTTGTTTGCTGACCAATGCACGCCGAGTCGCCTCCGTCCGCGCCGAGACCTACTGTAATCTGTTCTCGCTCTCCGTGGACCACTTCAACGCAGTGCTCGATCAATACCCTTTGATGCGACGTACGATGGAGAGCGTCGCCGCCGAGAGGCTCAATAAGATCGGCAAGAATCCAAACCTCGTGGCGCACCGCGAGGACGACACCACGTCCGAAGGGAACACAATCAACGCGGTGGTCAACGCGCTGGCGGCAGAGGCGGAGCACGTAAGCCTGTCGGACGACAGCGTGGCGCGGCTGTCGGAGCGCTCGTTGGGGCTGGCGCTGCAGCCGCTGCAGGCCGCCTCCTGCCGCATGGCGGGCGTCGCGCTGCCGGGCCTGGGCGTCGCCGCCGCGCTGCCCCGCCCCAAGTCCGAGCACGACTTCAGCCTGGCGCAGACGCAGCAGCCGCCGCTGGCCGCGGCCGCTGCCTTCCACAAGTCGGACGCCGGCATAGCGCCCTGACGCCGCACCATCTGCTAGTGCAGCGCCACCGACCGATAGCAATACTAGGCTTAGTGCGAGCCCGCCGCCTCGCTAGATGTAGCGTAGACGCGACGTAGCCGCGACCTCGCCGCGACCTCGCCGCGATCTCGCCGGGCGCACCCCACCACGCCGCCCGCTGAATCTCATTTTGTGATCTTATACTTAATTCTCCTGTGTTATAATTTAGGTTAAATTTTATATCATTGACGCTGTGAGGATCGAATACGTTACGTATTCCGATTGTATAGAATATACCTGTTATATATTGAAGATTGATAACTATTGAAACTTTATAGGGATACCTTGCCATTAAAAGAAAAAATAATTAATTATATAGACTAGACTGAGATGTAAAGATATCACTATTTTATGCTTTGTTGGCGTATGAAATAGTCGCTGTTGTTGAGGGATGCGAAATATTCTATCGCGAGATTATGAACGTATGAGATGTACCTTTGAACGTTCCTGGTGAAACGTCGGAGATGTTATATATTTGAAGTTATTTACTATATACACATGCGCTGGGACGTAGACCGTAGGTGAGGCCGCGCTAGTGCGGGCCGTTCGCGTGCACAGCAAAAACGAAGCACAACACATCGTTAAAGCCTCACTAAATCAAGAGCACCGATGCTTTCTTAAGTTTAATAATAAATAGGCAAACCGACAGATAACGATCTAACAAATGCTTTCGGTTTCCTCAGTAGAAGCGAATCTGTAGCGCCTCGGAATGTTTTCTTTGTGTAAATATTGTAATTTTGAGAATTCGCCTGTAGCGTTCGTTTTATAGAAGTGATCAACGTGCATTCATTGCAGCAGTCCAGTCAATTAACACGTGTGCTCGTGACGCGAGGCGAATATTTCTGTTCTCGGTGCACCAACTACACTTCGTACCTTGTTTTAATTCTAAGTGAAATAATAATTTATTATCGATAGTGATCATTTTGTAGGAGTAAGTAGGCCGGAGCGGTAACAAATTCGGACGAATTACGTTATGTGATAGGCAGTAAAGGCTGCAAGCACACCGACAACCATTCGCTCGCCGCCGGCTCGGAAACGTCGGCCAAATTAGTAGTAATAGGCACGAGTAGCTCGAGTTTGCATGCGATTAACGCTTTCACTTTGCTAAAATCAAAATTTTATCCTCATAATTTCATTCTACCTAGTAATACTCCGACAGCACTTAAAGTAGACGACGTAATCGCTTCACAGACTGGCGATTTAGCAATAACTAGGAAACGCCGAGACATATCGTAGAAGGCGCTAGGGCGAGGCCGAGCCGACAGCGATTCTGCTTCGGCATTCATCGTTGACTAATTCTTATAGTGTCATGACAATTTGTAAAGATCGTTTTGCAAAAATGTTGACTTTTTAGCCAAAATATCATCGATCACTAATAAATAAAACTATATACACAATCCCATGCAAAAGTTCTCTAAAAACTGTCGCCAATTGTTTTGACGTAATTCTAATTGAAATAAATATACATAAATGTAAATTCAACCTTAAATGCATTGCCTAAAGTTGTATTCACAAATCTACGTACAAATTAAAAGCGCACCCAAATGTTCGAGTGGGCGCTCATTCGGTAAGGACATTTTTTTGTCACTGATTGTGTATCTAGTTTTTTATTAGTGATCGATGCAAAATATAGTTAATTATAACGAACGAACCAATACGCAGTAGCTTAATCGTAGATAAACGCTGCCTAGTTCTCAGTTTGTCGGTTAACACCAATAGATACTTTATAATAGATACTTTATACTCATAAGATATTTATACGATTAATCTTAGCAGAGTGACTATCTGTCAATTTATCTACAAAGAAAAAAGTATAAATTGCGTTTGATCCCCAAAAGCATTTATTTATTGTTGTTTTAACTAACATTGCCGCTTTTACAAAATTATATAAGTTTTATAGAAGAGATCTATTTTTATTGTGAAGTTGAGCTGCTGGAAAGTAAAAATCTGTATAGAATCATGTGTTTTTTTAAATCTCGAATTTTAAAAGTAATATTGTTATTATTCTGATTTATAGTATCTATTTTCACCAAAAGTGCTCATCGCTGTCAAGAAATTAGCAAAAATGCATTAAAGAATGATGAAAACCGTTTTATTGTTTTATATTTCCCTATTTATAAGGTACATGAGGGTAATATGGTCACCTTAAGCTTTGCCGCCCTATAAAATCAAAACTAGGCGGAGACATATACACAATGTCGTATACTATAACTAATATATTAAGAAAAAATAACAAACAAGCCTTGGCAATAATTTGGAACACTTCGAAAAATCAACTTAAGAGGATTGTGAAGCTGTAAATTTTCATACAAAAAGCGCTAACGTTTTCCCCCCCGTAAATGTAGTCCAATTTTAATAAATTTTGGAAATGTTGTAGATATCACAAAAAACTAGGCCCGTACGTTTTTATTTTAAAGAAATATTGTATACAATATAAGTTATTAGCATCTAAATATCTATATTTTTGACTTAAAAACTTCCTCGAGCGCTTTTTTTTTAAATTAAACTAAACAGATTACTAAAAAAGTAAAACGTACAGGCATAGATTAAAGTGTACTGAATCTAATAAGACCGAAATTGTCTTATTTTGTAAAAGTGTAGGAGGGTAAAAACGTTATCGCCGGAAACAATATTTCAAAAAGAAAATGTAGGCAATTGCCTTCAAAACTTGCAACTCTCTCTATCGCACGATACGAGTCGGGGGCAGGGGAATATTGTAGTGATGTTAGAGGTGCTATCGATATTATTATCGCCTAGGGAGGAGAAAATAACGTCGATAACCTACAAAGATATACCTCTCACGAAAAAGTTAATATGTGTGGTTTTTCAGTGTTTATCGATTATTTAGTAATTCATTTAGTCTTTATTGAATACGGACATTAAAATAAAAAGGTTTCGAGTTTACAATAAAGTAGGTAGGCAAATAAATAAAAAAGTAACAACTTGTAGAAATTATTATTGTTATTATTACATATTACTTTATTACACTTTTTCTCGAACTGCCATTTTTCTAGGAACTCGAGGGTCAATCATTTCTGGTAATAAACTTTATAAATAAAATGAGTAAAGTCTTGGCTGCATCTTTGCTGTCCAAAAGTGGTCATAGTACTTATTTTTTTCCTACGCCAAACCACATGCTTTATTAAATGCTTGAACAAAAGCATGAAAAAGTTGTGTCCATACTACGAAAAAAAATTGCATACCAGTTATATGTAATTATACCTGGACCTGATAATAGTAATCATGGTTTCTTTTTTCTTTATGTCCTTCTCGTATCATACAATATTTTGATCTTTTTTTAGATATGGCCTCCAAATGTGGCATATTAGAAGCAGAAATAAGACATTTGATTTCATTTAGTGTCAAATAAAGATATTTATTATTATTATTATTATTTAGAGAATCGTCTCTAATAAGCCCATCGGGAGTTGTCCCTGAATAATAATCTTCGGAATCAATAAACAGTCCTAATCTTGATTCTTTGCAAAATAATAAATTATGAAGTTGCAATCGAAATATTTATTTTTTATTTGCGATACATTCATATAAGTGATTTATTTCTACAATTCTTGGCCCGTACAACTTATCTGACTCAATTCAATAATTAATTAGCTCGATTAGTTCAATAATTAGCTCGACAGTCGAAGACGGTGATATATATATATCGTATAAATAAAATAGTAAATAGTCATGTTATATATACATATATATAACATGACATTATTATTGTATTCTTTTGATTCTCTTTGTCAGATTCGATTCCTTCGCCAACTGGAGTACATCGTCCTTGCACATTACTTTCCGGTAATTGTTTGTCTATCTCGGAGTCACTGAAAAATAAATAGAATGATAATAGTTTAAATTTTATTTTAGGGCCAACTAACGCAGGCGAAGTCGTGGATGAAAAGCTAGTTTACCCACATAATTCGGTTCATCGTTCAAATTTCTATGTGAGCGTACTACGCTCAGCGTAGTCCTTCCCCGGTCGAGCCGACTCACTCGTGCTACCACGTATAGAAATTTTACTAATCAAATCTTTGTATCTCGAAAATTTTAGTGATACGAAGAAAACTCTTCTAACGGACTTTTATTATTACTAGACTGGAAAATTAAAAATTTTGTACAACCGATTTCAATAAAACTCAATTACAACATAATATATGTAATGGTTGAAATGATTTCCATAAAATTGGTATGAGACCAACTGTGAAAAAAAAAGAATAGTGTAAAATGAAATGTTTCTTATGCTTCAATACAATTTAATTCACTTGTACAATCAACTGTTTATTATACCTCAATACATTCAATCACTTTAGTTTCATTTAATACTTTTAACACTCAAGTTATTATTCTCACAAGACCTGTCGCACACGCCGACGCTCGGATACATAGTGTGATATAGGCGTGTGTATCTCTTTACGGAAACGACTCACTGATACGAATCACTGAAGTGACACAAAAGATTGGTTCAGTAACAATGTTTCAAATGTATCATTTGTATCTGGAACAGTGAAACATTACTTTGCTCTTTGCTAATTTCGCGCGACGCGTCGCTTGCGAGGCGACTGAACCACGAGCGAGAGAGAGACTGAGACAATGATTAACTTAACAAACAAGTCAAATTGTTTATATTCATTAGCGCCTGTTTACGAAAACATACTGAGTAATGTTTAGGATTTCTTTGCGTAGTGATTATTGTGACTTTACTTTCTTCCTTTTCATCATAAAGTTTAGAGTTATGATACTTTACGAGTAAATTCTGTGTACATAGAGATTGCTGTTTTGTGTAAATGGACATTTTTGTAAATAATGAATTGACATAGTGACATTTTTGTTAAAGTATGAAGGAGAATCGAATTTATATACAAGCTTATTACGGTACACAATAAATAATCTATGCACTTATATTATTCAGCATTGTTGCCACATAACATTTCACGGATCAGTCAGTAATAAACGCCCGCGACGCAACTTAATGTATTCGGAACATTCTTTCTTTTATATCTTTTGAGTAGATGATACAAATGAGCCAAATGAAACATATCAGTGTTTCGGAACATTTCAGTGGTCAAGATGCAAATGTTCCCATCCCAAAAATGATACACTTTGCCCACCTCCAGTGTGATAGTGTCGTGTTTCGGCGCGCCCTGGCGGCGCCAGCCTGGTCGGCATTGCTCGCGTGATTCCGGCAACTACTCGTAACAATAGGTAATCAAAATTCGAGAGTAATCGATGAACAAAAATAAAAAAAAAACAAATATACGTACACGCGAGGAGGTTCTCTCCTCCGTTTTTGAAGTCAAATCAACATCAGCTATTCTATACTTTTATATTTTGTGGCATACATTTCTGTCTTTCTCCTACCAGTCAACCTATGTACATACAATAGTATGTAAGGTGGTAAGGTACGAGATCAAAGTAAGTAAGTAAGTACGCGTAGGTACTTACCTGTTGAGCACAGAGCTGTTGATTTTAGAAGACGTTGCCCGTCCTTTCGATTTACGAAGCAAATTGCATTTTTTTAGTTTTATCTATAATCTTTCTCTTCTATTCTAAAATGTATAAAATTATTTTAGTTGAATGAATGTAACACTCATCTCATCATCACTCACATAGTAGATAGGTAGATACTTACATAAAAAAATAACAGCCCACTTCTATAAGGTATATGTAGTAAGTGCCCACTACATAGACTATGCAATATAATAAAATTTCAAAGTAACACAAACAAATTCATTATGTAACTAGTCGTAAATGTAAGTTGTGTATCGCTAGCAACGCAAAGTCGGGAATTTGCATTTGGAAAAATCCTAAATTAGGGGCTTTTTAGGTGCTAATTAGGTGCCAAATTTAAAAATTAGGTGCTCTAAAATTTTCACCGCAACTAACTGTTGAAATTCGCGTTGCTAGCAAAACGTCTCGCTAGCAACGCAATGAAGTTATTAAATATACGATAAATATTAATAGCAATGAATTAAGTGCTAATTAGGTGCTGCAAATATACGCAATAACAAGGCACCCCTAATAAAAATAAAGTCGTTATTCAGAACATAGCAGATGCAAAATTCAAATTTCTTGAAAATCAAAATAGAATCAAAATTGCTTTCAGAAAAAGTCCAAATTAGGTCCTTTTTAGGTGCTAATTAAGTACCAAGTTTAAAAATTAGTTGCTCCAATATTTTCACCGCAAGGAACCATTGAAATTTGCGTTGCTGGCAAAACGTATCGCTAGCAACGCTGATGACGTTACTAGATATACGATAAATATTAATAGCAAGAATTATGTGCTAATTAAGTGTTGCAGATCGATTATCGAAACCCGATACAGATTGCGATATTATTCTGGGAATTATGGGGTCCACGACCACCATTACCTTACTATAATGTATGAACAGTATTTTTTGTTCTTTATCAGTTCCTAAAAATTAAGTGCTAATTAGGTGCTGAAAGATTATTGAGGTCGCATGTAGAAGACGGTAATATTCTGGAAATTATCGGATTTAAAACCACCATTACCTTACTATAAGGTATGAACGGCATTTTTTGTTTTTCAGATTTAATATGATTATATTTGAAAATGGTAGAAAATTGGTTGAAAATTATATTAAATTATATTATAGATTTATAATATTATTTAAAATAATTTTCAACCAAATAAATGTTACAATTCTTATTTTTAGACATGTGAAGCCCAAACTTTAGTGTACTCGAAAGGATATTTTCTTTCCAGTAAATTGCTTTGTAATAAATAGCGCCATCTACAACGTTCTATAGTTCTAGTCATTTTATCAAATCAAAATAGATGGACTCTCAAGGTGGTAAGTAGGATAGACACTAGATGGCACAAACACAAAGACCTAATTTTTTACGTGGTAGAGCCATGCTGCAGCTATATTATGGTTGTAGCACGAATGAGTCGGCTCGACCGGGGAAGGACCACGCTCTCACAGAATACCAGTATAAAATAGCAGCTTCACGCTGTTGTGTTTCGTATGGTGAGTGTAGAAAACCAGAGACCCTTTTTACTGGAAACGAGGCATTCCATCTTAGTCCTTACGGGTGACAACGCATCTGCATTTTGATTCTTAAT